TAGGATTCGATAATTCAATGAGGGAAAGGTGAAATGGAGAACTAAGTGGCTCACTTTTTCCCCTGATAGAGTTTGAGAATAATATCAAGTGAGTTGAGAGACAGAACTGACGCATTGTTAACAAGAATATCAAGCTTCCCAGTCGTCCGAGCAGAAACAACATCCCTCGCATTCCGAATTGAGTCGAGTTTGGTTATATCCAGTGCCAGCGTCTCAATTCCGAGTTCCTCCAGCCCTTTCATAGTCTCTACCCTTCGCGACGTAGCAAAGACGCGTACACCTGTAGTAAATCAATTAAGAAACATATCCGACGTAGAGCGCTCAGCGTTGGGACCGACCTCGAGAATGATATTCAGCAGCAAGAGCAGCCCCAATCCCTCCGTCAGTGCATCCAGTTATGAGAACGGTTCTTTGTGGGGCGGGCATAATGATAAGACAGCGTCGACGCAGACAGCCAGGCTTTATAGCCTTCTTCCCGAGCGAGAACACGAATCCGCCTTCGGTTGAAGGATAAATCACCGGCAACCGGATCCCGAGGTGTAATCGCGCTTGGTCATGTTTAAATTCTTGATTGAGTTGTTCGGCGCTGTTCTGCCCTTGAATTCGGGAGGGTTCTTCCGGCTCATAGTTCACTGCACAGTTCCTCGCGGGATCCGCCGTCGTCGGTCGACAGTCACTACTAATTATCTGGTAAAAATTACAAGGAACCCATGATAAACATAATGCATACGTTCAACCAGTCAGATCACTCGATAGCGAATCCCCATGCTTCTCAGCCAGCAACTTCGCCATACTCCAAGCAGACCGATAGACCGCTTTCTGTCGCTCCTCCTGCCACCTTGGCGGCGCCCCCCAAAGCGCCTCATGCGCAACAAACCCAAATTCAAGATTCGGATTCCTTGACCCCTCATAAACCATCTCATCCAACTCCAATTCCCCCTGCGCAACATACGGTTCCGCGATCGCCTTACACAAGTCAACCGGCGTCTTGACGTTGTACTGCGTCATACACTGGCGTATAAGATCACGGAGAATGTAACACTCGTCGTGATCTCCATTGATTCCGTCGAGGAGCACAAATTGCATGCAGTCGTCGAAACTTGCGGCAGGGGCGTTCATAGCGTCGCTGCTGCCATGGCAGAACATCTCCGCTTGACAGGATTCGAGGATCGCATCTTTATAAGTGGTGGTGCATTCCCAACGACTCCCCTTCGTCAGACCCACGAGCGAGCTCGAAATGCGACGATACGTAGCGGGGATGCAGTGCATAGAACGGACCACTTGTTGGTCTTTCCCCTTGCGCAATATCACGGTGAGGTGTTTGTATAAAAGACACCGCCGTAGAAGTTCGTTGAGGAAGCGATGCGAATATTCGTCTTCGCAGGATAGAGCGGCGTAGAGGACGGGCGGATGTTTCTTTTGTTCCCATGTTATGTCTCCGCTCCCGTCTTCAGATTTACTGTGTGTGGGACCGGTGACGTGCTTTTCGGTCTCGACGAATCCGACGAGAAGGCCATACACAGCGAGTATCCCTGCACCGTAAAAATTTGCAAGCTCGACATGAGTCGAGTGAGGTACGGGGAAATTCGCAGACCCAGTGAGCAAGGCGTAGCGCTGGCACTCGATCATGTCTTCGACCTACAGGTGTTCATATTAGCATGAAACAGAAAACCCCATCGTAGGAGGCACGTACCGTCGGACAAATCGTCCTCACACAACTCACACAGCTCCGAAACGCAAACACATGCCCCCAGGCACGAAACGGATGCGCTATGCCGCTAAGCGACTTGTACACGCGCATCCCGAGCACAACGATAAACTCCGTTTCGGTGTCGACAGGTCGCAGCACGTCGTCGATCGCCGCCCAAATCTCCTCCGTGGACATCCTCCTCATCTTCTCTTGAACGAGTTTCGCGATTGCCACATCGTGGTTCGGGTCAGTCAGGAATGTCGGTACGTCGACGTGGTTGGATGCGAGGATCATGAGAGTTGGGTCGGTATAGATTGCGCGGCGGAAGTACGCCCAGACCACGCGTTTGCGCTCATCGTAAAAGGCTGAGGACGTCGGGAGCATGAAGCATGAGAGCCGCCACCGAACGCCTTCCCAGAGACGCGCCGACTCGGATTGCGCGAAAACAGAGCGTTCAAGGGGATCGCTGGACAAGACGTCACTGGTGTCGTCTAGGCCGAGTTCAAAGTCTCCATGGTGCTTGGAGCATTCGGAAACTGATTCGTGAGAGGATTGAGACCGAACCCAGGCGGCATTTTGAGACTCGAGGAGAAGATCGTAACCACGGCCCTCCAGGCGATGGAGGAGCTGCTCGAGTTCATTGCGGTGCTGTATTAGACCTTCGCAGAACTTGCGATGACCGAAGTCCTGAGGTGTGTGAGATGAGAATGGGGTGGCAAGCGAAGAACGAACCATATCATTGCTGGAAGAGAGTTATTAATCCTGATTTTACTCGATAAATGGGAGGTACGTACCCAAAGAAGCGTTCAGTGAAGCGTTCCCGTGCTTTTATGCATCTGGAGCGACATTCGGTCATGTAAAACCGAAGATTGAAGGATGGACATACCTATCGACAAGGCCATGTTGAAGGCGGATCTTTTCATTCCACTCCCAAATCGTTGGCATCGAGCGACAAACTCGTATGTCCTCCATGCCACAGACTTCGACATTCCCGCTGATAGAATTGAGGATAGATTGCCAGTACTTGTAGTTTGAATAGAGCTTGGCGCGTTCCTGGAGAGAATAAGTGAATCAAGGCGGGATAGGAAGATTCATTAATATTGCGTCGACCAACCTCGTTATGCCGTGGACACCAATTCATCCCAACAGAGGTGCGTGCTTTACAGAGGGTGGCACGCGAGTCTACAGTGGCGACGCAGTCGCCGGTCATCTTGAGATTTATGAACGTGAAAGAGAGAAAGAAAGCGATTTGAGTGGCATTGCATGATCCCTTCTTTCTTTATGAAGGACCATTAATGGCCCAAGCGGAAAGTGGCGTGGCCACATCAGCCAAAGCGGACCATTGTTACGCAAAAAGGGAAAGAGAGGAACTCAAGCAGCTCTTGATTGCAAAGCGCAGAGAATTTGCAACAAACTGCACGCCGTACGACTCGGAGGACAATCATTCTGTTTTGAAAGACGGGAAAACTTAAAAGATCCGAGTTCTGTCACTTGAGGGCAAGCACATAGCGTATAATATGCCCATCGAATGAAGAGCCCTGCATTTCTGGAAGACTTTGTCGAAATTTGTCCAAGGCAAACAAGAGTTTCGAATCTGTCGATGAAGGGGAAGCAAAAGAGGCAGACGGTCACGTGGAAATGTTTCAACATCATGATCCCGATCAATTCATCATTGATTTCAAGAGTTCGGATGTTTCTTCGGAGTCGATATTAATCCTTGCTCAGTCCATGAACCATAACAGAACTGTCGACGCTAACAGTATCTAGACTAGGCAAATTTCTCGCCGAGCGATACGTAAAGTGTGGCCATACAGCCTACGAAAGATTATTGCAGTGTCGGATGCCGCACCGCGTCATTCGGCATCTAGTAAAGTCCCGGGTATCATATAAACAGTCGACCAGTCGAAGGTCGACATATCCCGCACCCCCACCATGCCCTCTCTCGCCGCCGCCCGCGCCTTCAACGCCTCCTTCTCCCCCAGCTACACCCCTGTTGCCATTTTCGTCGGAGGAACTTCTGGTATCGGGCGGGGAATGGCCGAAGCTTTCGCTCGACACACGAAAGGAAACGCTAACATCGTCCTCGTCGGTCGGAATCGCAGCGCCGCAGAATCCATCATCCGCACCTTCCCCAAGCCCACCATTTCCGGCGTCACCCACGAATTCGTCGAATGTGACGCTACCTTGATGAAGAATGTCCACCGCGCGTCGACCGAGCTGCGCGAGCGGCATTCGAAAATCAATTTTCTTGTCTTGACGCCTGGAGTGCTCACTATCAATGGCCGGAACGAAACGGAGGAGGGAATCGACCGTAAACTTGCGGTACATTATTACGGCCGATGGCGCTTCATCAAGGATCTTCTGCCGGCTGTTGAAAACGCGCAGAAAGCAGGCGAAGACTCGAAAGTCATTTCCGTCCTTGCAGCTGGAGATGGGCAAAAGATTGACCTGGACGATCTCGGATTGAAAAAGACCTTCAGTATTCCAAACGCTGCACATACTGCTCCGACATATAATGACCTTATGGTTTTGGTGAGATTCTCCATGTAGCAAACGACTCGTGTTGACCCTCGATCCAGGATCTCGCACAGAGATACCCCGAGCTCACATTTGTACACTCATTCCCTGGTGTTGTGAGCACCGGTGGAGCCAAGAATTCCGACTCGCGGCTCATTCGCTCAATCAGTTTCTTGGTGCCGCTCTTCTCTCCGTTGATGTACTCAATCGAGGCGGCGGGTGAATACCAATTGTATGCTTTGTTGAAGGCAGGGAAGGGGGCCGCTCGGACAGGTGCTACGGGCGATGATATGGGGATGGAGAAGTATTTTGGATCGCCCGAAGCGATGGCGCGTTTGTGGGAGCATACGGAGAAGGAGACGGCGGTATGATGCGGCTTCTGTGTGAGCTATCTCTTGACGTTGCGCCTTTCCACACATTGGCATCCCACGGGTCGATATAATGTTGTAGAAGTACAGTTTGGTGAATCAGCCAGCCAGTTCCCGTTGGAAAATTGTAGACTGTGAAAGTGGTGAAGGATCTGGGTGGGGTGATATATGCCGGTGGACTTCAGGTCTCCACGTCCAGGTTCAGGTTCAGCAAAGCGCAACGCCTCAGGCTCAGCGTTCGGGACAAAGTGCCCCGAACCTGAAACCGAACTTTACCATCACTCGAAGTGGCAAGAGATGAAAATGAGAACCTGGGAGTAAATTGCAGTTTGTGAGGTCTGTAGTGATCCAAAAGGCTTGAAAGTTCGCTAGAAATGTGCGTAGAAGTGTCAGGAACAGTTCTGGTTTCGCCAAAAAGCCAAAAAGGGCCTAACCGGGAATTGAACCCGGGACCTCCTCGACTGGTCTGGGAACAATTTCCACAGAGCCCTAACAAGGAATCATACTACTAGACCATCAGGCCGACGCAAGTTAGATTTGCCGAGGCCATATGTCCACAGGAAATATCTCAGCCGTGACCCAGCACGTATGCTGCACGTTAAACAGAGATGAACAACAGAGACCATTGCCCTTCTCAGTGTGCTAGTCTCATCTCTCGAGACTTTGCTTGAGAAATCATAAAGTTACGTCCCATCTCGCAACACAAGATCTCAGATCCGATAGCGCCGACCAACTTCCCAAGCTTCGGGATCAGATCAACTGAAGAATGCTGGAAAGAGACAGTTGCAACCTCAGGAAGGTGGTGGTTGTTACATAAGAGCAAGTCAAGAGGCTTGGTTGCACGAGTTACGGCTGCAAGCGGCTCAGGACGTTGTTCAGCGCGGATCCACAACGCACATTTAGGCCGATTTTCGGGAGAAAAGGCACAAGTCGGAAGTTGCCAGTTGGAAGTCCACAATCGATATCACCACATATATTGAACGGTCCATCTCGTAGCAACATGAAAAAGTGTCGGTCACACAAAGGTGTATGACTTCTACGCATTCTTCTTGCCTCTGGCCTTCCGCACTTGTGCAGAAAACTCACCGAACTTGTACATGTCGGAGGTAATCTTTGTCTAGAATATAAGTTTAGTCCGATCCAAGAAGAAACATGCATTCAGAGTCTTGCTTACCGGCACCCATCGAGGAAAGAAGGACACCAAGAACCAGAAAGCACTCGCCGAAGCGCCTCCCCAGGAGTAAGCCGGCGGGTTTGTTTTGAGAGTCTCCGCAACGAGCTGCCGAGCGTACTTCTCCGCGCTGGCTGCCCTCTCTGATGAGTTTGATTTAGTTATGTTGGAAGAGGTAACTGACTCGTAAATGAGAGCACGCACTATTGTTCTGAATATGCAAGTCGTTGACGACATCCTCCAGGGGCTTGTATAGAGAGTCTTTCGGGAAGCGTGTCGGTTTGAAGATATTACTCTTGACCAGAGCGGTTACCGTCTTTTGAACATAATTCAGACAAATTAAAGAGAGAATATCAATAGTCCCCGCACCGTAATGACCTTGATACTTGAAACCAATTGATTATGAGCCGCCGACTCGAGCGAAGGCGGAGATAATTCAACTCACTTGAACGGCTCTAATTCAACCCGGAGGGTATCACTGAAGGAGTGGAGCGCCGCCTTGCTGGCGTTGTAACCAGCTTGCAAGGGGATCGCAACAAGCCCTGCGGCGCTACCGATGTTGACGATACAAGCGTCTTGACCCGCCATGAGAAGTTGAATAAACTCTTGAACCATCGACATATGTGCGAATAGGTTGAGTTCGAAGACGGATCGCATTTCGGACATGTCCGAATCGAGGATCGCCGCTTCGTAGACTGCACAGTGAACAAAGATCAGGGAGAGAACAAGAATGAGCCAATGATTTAGCCTACGTCTTCCGCTACAAAACGAATTGGGAATATAGACCGCGATCATAATTCGAGGACTGTGCTCACGCATTGTTCACGAGAATATCAAGCTTCCCTCCGGTCTTTGAAGAAACAATTTCTCGGGCATTCCGAATGGAGTCGACTTTGGTTACATCGAGTTCGATGATGTCGATCCCAAGCGCAGCAAGTCCCTTCATGGTCTCTGCCCTCCGCGAGGTGGCAAACACACGTAGACCTGAACACGACACACAAGATTAGTATCTAACCAACTTTGACAAGAAAATGATCGGTACCTCGCGAGTGGTATTCCTTAGCCAGCGCAGCGCCGATGCCGCCATCGGAGCATCCAGTGATTAGAACCGTTCTTTGAGCAGGCATGGTAAAAAGGAGGGAACTCGGTGTCAGACTGAACCCAAGACATAGCACTTTTAAAACGACGACATCCGGGTCCGTCCGATTCCGTTACAAAGCCCTAGCGCTTGGTAATCGCAAGGGACGGGTGTACCGGCGGATCTGCTGGGCATGAGAGGGCACCGCCGTACGATCGTTTAGTTACTACGAGTCTGCGGCTTGCCCGCTCTTGCCCGTCCCGCTTGGAAATGGGCAAGAAACGGGTTTGAGTCAGCTGTCAGCATACTCACTGTATAGTATGTACCGCTTTATCTGTCATGATTCAGAGCCTGCGTAGAGAACCTCTGATAATCTTGAAAGCTTGCAGCCTCGATTCTGCGACGGTAATGGAGGATTCAGGACAAGCTGTAATTGATCATCATCAGTCGGATGATTGCCCATCACTTCGGCTGAGTTACTTGACCTCTTCCTCCATGCTACTTACTTTTCTTACCCGTTCTTGATTAAGTACACTCGCAGCCCTCAAATGGTCGAACAAAACCTATATCAGTCGAGTTCAAGTCCTTGTAGCCTCTTGGCAAGCACAGGGACTCGAGAAAAGATTCCGAGCACGTCGCTGGGAATAATGAGTTTGAATGAAGAAACAAATTACATCTTGGACTATCGACTACATACGTCTCGAACATCTACGCATTCGACGTCAGCCAGCCAACCATCGTGCAGCTCCTCATGTTTTGGACTGCATGTGCCATGCGGCTGCCGGGATATTGCTACTTTCCTAAGGTCTGTAATCCGTTCCACGAATTTGCTTGAAAATTTCATGAATTGGTTCGGATAGGCCAGAGAGCCGCTAACATATGGAAATCCCAATCTTTTACGTGGGGTTAGAACTGCCCTACTTGTATCTAATCTACGAATCATATCGGTCTGACTTCGATTTAGTGACGTGACTGACGCGTCTTCTCCTCTCCTCTCACTCAAGCACTTACTCCGAGTCACCGTTGTCCTTCTTCATGGCTCACCGTCGCGCCGCCGCCGCCAAGCCTCAACGCGCTCAATCCGCCGCCCCAGTCGAAGACTTTGACTTCCTCGCGTCTCAACAGTCTAATGCCAGTGGAAGCGACGACCAGGCGTTCGTGTTTTCCTTTCCTTTCTTCTCGTTCTCTGCTCTTTGGCGCGTCGCTTGACTCGAATGGGTGTAGGATGCAGCTCGCCATCGCACAACAGCTCATGGGTGTGTTTTCACTCAGAGTCAGGTACTTAGCTGTTGTGGGGGCCTGACGCGATGATGGTACACAGCGTCGAAAGAAAGGAAGCGCAAGGAGCTCGAGAAGAAGTTCTTCCAGGCTGCGAGACATAAGCTCAACGGCGAGGTGCGTACTGTTTTGGATGTCTCATTCCCCATCTAAAGCCTCATCAATGTTTTTCGCTTAAGTTCTCTGCGGCCGCCGACGACGTGAAGAGTACAGTCGAAGCAACGTATGCGCTTGTTTTCTTTATCCTGATCCTTGGATGCCTGCAATAACGAATTTCGATGTTGAAGGGAACAACTCTACGTGAAGTTTCTGACCGACTACGCCACCTGCGAGGACAAGATCCGCGCATTGTGGATGATGATTAAGAAGGAGGAGCAGACACTCGTCGTTCGTGCCTATATTGTATCGCTCACTCATCTTCATCGCTAAATTGTCGTCTGTTCGACCTTCAGGATATCGCGAAGAAACAACACGAACTCAACCTTACCATGCGCACCGAGACAGAACAAGCACAGTTTACGGGGATGGGTCAGGCGAAGGAGGCGTGTTATGGTGCGTTTTGTACACTTCACCCTGTCACCGATTTGCCTCTGAAATTGTCTATCGAATGAAGAAAACCGACGTATTATCGAGACGCTCATTCCCGGCGCCGCTTGAGCACTTTTTGTTGCATACACTCATCCCATTTTCTGTCTCAGCATTGAACATTCATCGTCGCACGCATGTATTCTCTCCAACATGTTTTCATCCGAATTCTCGGTTTCAGTGTCTTCCATAGTACAAGCAATGATATCAACTCGAACAAGACTCCCACTCTCGGGGGCAATATCTACCTATAATCCACATTTACAGCTGCCAGATTCCGGCCATCGTCACTTCAAAAGCAAAAATCAAATCCTACCCCAATTTCTCCCCCAAAACGGTCTGCTCCAACACTTTCCCATCCTCAAGCACAATCTTCTCCGCCCCCACCAGAACAACCGCAATCCGACACACCTCCTCCGTCCGATTAAACCACGCATGATTCACCCCTCTTTGCACTATAAACTCTCCAGCCTTCACAGTCTTCTCCTCCCCACAATCCAACGCCAACACAATCTCCCCAGAAAGCACGACGGCATAATCGATGCTTTGCGTGCGGTGCATCGGGGCGCCGCCGCGGCCGGGCTGGATGTCTGTGATGCAGAAGATGACGCCGGTGGGCGGGCAGCGCGGGAGGATTGCGTCGAGGGTGGGGTAAGGTGCGGTGTTGGATGCGGGAACGGTGGGGGAGGAGTGGAAGGTTGTGAAGTGGGAACCTTGGGGGCCAAAGGGCGTGAAGGGCGTGAGGGTGGAGTCGGAGGTGAAGATGGAGGTGCCGGTGGGGGTGTGCCCTGTTACGACGAGGCGCGCGTCGGGTAGTTGAGTGGTTTGGGAGCCTGAGGATGCCATCGTTTCAGAGTGAGTGAGAGAAATGGATCTGATGGACGGGGCAAGTGAGGAGTGCTCGATCTGTTGCTTTGTTTCGTTGCAAGTTCAAAAGCTCCTATATATACAGTCTCTCGGAAAAACGGAAGCAAAGATCACCATGAACGATTCAATGGCATTGTGGAGAAACGGTCGCGAAATTTCCTTGTTTTGGTGAATTCATCCGTTTTTGGTTCTAAAAATACAGGACAGAGCTTCAAAGGTTAGAATCGATTGGAGCAGGAGAGCGGCTGAGGAGACATAGCCCGTCAAGAATCGGAGTCAAGATCACGTAGATCTATGAGACGTCGAACAGAGACGTGGAGGTCATAGATGCGCAACTGGACTACGTGCACCGACCCGGGAACGAGTTGGAACTCAGTAAACGCGTCGAAGCGACGTGTAAGTAACGATATTTACCTGAATTTCTGTAGGGGATTAAATACGGCTTGCATACATCTACCTTCCCCTCATTTCACGACACAAGGGATGAAATCTTGGAGGGCATAGAGCGGAACAACGCTCAGACCTGATGCGTTCAAGACAGCAA